ACTGAAATGTGGAGGTGGGTGGTAAAAATCATGCATACAGAAAAAATGATTGTAGATAGAGAGTTGATTTTGGTTCTTCAAAAGACACTCATGTCAGGGCTGGGGATTTAGCTCAGTGGTTCCACCGCCTGCTTTGAAGTTGCAAGGTCCTGAGTTTGATCCCCAGTACCAAAAAAAAAAAAAAAAAAAAAGACACTTGTCAAAACCTTGGCTTATCTCTGATTGCAGAGGAGTGAGTATCTCACTGAGACCAGGACCTCCCTAGGTGAGGGTTGCATGAGAGTCTTAGGCCTTGGCTGCCTTTGTTGGGACACCGGTATGAAACAGCTACGTGCAGCCAGCCTCTGCTTCATTCAGCTCTTCTCCCAGGGCTGCTATGGAATCTCCTGCAGTCTTACTGGCCTCCCTTATCTCTATGTTGTCAGCATGTTGGTACATAGTAATATTTGAATAGCACTTAAGAAACAGCAGAATGCTTGGAGTTCAAAATCCCTCTCATTGTTATGTGTTGTATTGCTGCTTGGTACTAAGCTGGGTCTCTGAAGAAAGGGGAATCATGGCATTTTGTTTTTAGTCAGATAGTTTAAGAGGGTAAGCTTCATTGACACATTTTTTCTGGCTCATATAAATATGAATGATAGCAATTGTGTTAAAGGAAAAAAATAGTGTGAGTAGAACTGTGAGTTCTTTTTACTTATTTTTCTTTTCCTTTCTGCTGTCTGAGAGTATTTTGACTCTGACAATTCCTTTATAATCAAGCCCATATAATTGTTACAGAAAGAAGAAATCAAGTGATCATTACTGAGGATTTCTTAAAAAGTGGTTTTGCCAGTTATTTGTAAAGTACACATGCCTGTGTTGGAAAATTGGAAAACAGAAGAACAAAAGGAGAAGCACTCAGTGTTGCTACTCAGAGACATGCTGGTGTTTGTTTCTGGCTCTGTCAGCACACTTGCTATCAAAGTGCGTATACCGGTGAATCCTGATCTTTACCTAACATTGCCACCTGCAGGTTCGGTGTCCCACGGATTTTGTGAAGATGTGCTATGCAGGCATTCTTCTATTTGCTGAGTGCATTTTTATGCAGGGAGCGTGTGTGCGTGCGTGTGTGTGTGTGTGTGTGTGTGTGTGTGCATGCTAGGGACTGAACCCAGGGCCTTGAGATGCCAAACATGCACTCTAACCACTGACTTATATTCCCAGATCTCGTGTAATTTCTGTTTGAACTTAAAAGCTACATCATCCCCAAGAAGTTCCCTATTTTAAGATGTAGCATTGACATTAGTTGAGTTTGATGTACACATTTAAGCTAACTTTATGTGGATAAAAATGCCCCAGTCTGCTTAGGAGCCTGTGCCACAGCTGTAGTGCAGGACTGAGCAGGTCGAGAGCAGGGCCCAGCAGGCACCCTGTCGGGGTCATGGGTTGTCCCAGGACAGCAGGGCAGGGCTCTGAAGAGACTTAGGCACCCACAGAGCACACGAGGGTCTGGTCCTCAAGGGATGAAAGTAGAGAGCATCCGCACAGCCTGAGCAGCGCTCAACATGGTGGAGAAAGAATCTGATGTAGTTCACTGGTCAGTGACAACCAGCGGCCTCCCTCTTGAGCTGCCCCATGTAAGTCCGCAGATAGGCGCAAGTGTGCCCTCTGGCAGAGGACAGGCAGGGTGGCCTTGATTTGGGTCTGCTTCCCTAACTTTCTATGCTTTATTCTTCTCTCTTGAAAGAAAATATCCGTACTACCTACTTCCTGTGACTAAACGAAACACCCAGAACAATTCCTGGCATGTAAAATGAATGCTCAATGAATAAAGCTATTATCTTTCTTATATAAGTTTGTGCCTATTGTCAAGTTTCCCGTGTGCAGTGCTGGTTAGATAAGTTGCAATAGAAGAAAGGCAAGATTTTGGGGCGTGTGTGTGTGTGTGTGTGTGTGTGTTTATACGCTGCAGTGTGTGCTAGCCAGGTGCTCCACTGCTGGACCCAGCTGGGCTGGGGGTGGGAATGTGTGGGGCCTCAGTGTCCCTGGTCTTCCTTCCTTGGCTCGTCCACACCCTGCCCTGGGGCTGGGTCCCCTTGCCAGGCTTCAAGCTGATGCCTTTCCAGTCTCAGGTCCTCTGTGTAGCAGCTTTAACCCAGCCCTGTCCTGTCAGGCTGCAAGGCTGCGGGGCCCCAGGGATCTCTACTTCAGATGCAAGCCCTGAGCCAGAGCGAGGGCAGAAATGCTGCAAACACAGCAGTAAAAGCATGCACGCCATTTCCGAAAGAAGTTTCCTACTGAACTATAATCCACTGAAAAGTGTGTATATTTTGCTTGCATTAGTAGTGTTCACGGCATCCATACTGAAATAGAAGCAAGCTTTAGAACTTGTTTTGTGTCTCCTCATGGGGACTTTGCTTTGGAAGGCTGGTGACTGGCTGTCTGTTCATGGGTATGGAGAAGGAAGACACGGAAGGGAAGGAATCATCCCACAAAGAGAAGCATTGGCTGGGGTGCGAGTGGGTCTAAACCCCACTGGTGGCTCCCCGCCTTCCAGTTCATCCTTCTTGTTTCGGTACCTGAATTGGCAGAGGATACTTTGTAGAAAGATTCTTTAGAAGAGAATAATTAGGCTAGGCTTTTGGGGAGCTGCATTAGACATTAATTTTTTTGGTTCTCCAAATCCATCTCTCACTCGTTGTTTTTGAGTTAGATTTTCATTCCATCCAGTATTACGATTGCTGCTTATTTTATCACCTGAAGAGAGTGAGGTCAAGGTTATGTAAAATCTTGGGACTTCTCTGACATTAATTCTCCTGACTCTGAATCAGGAATGGGAATGGGCCCATTTTCAGGTGTCCAGTCTTAGATCTGAACCTGCAGGGGTCCTGGGGACACTCCATTGGGTGGACTTGGAGCAGTTGTGAGCAGAACAGAAAGGTGTGTTGTTGTTGATCAAAGGTCCCGACCACAGGTAGAAGATTGGACTGGAATCTTTTTTGTTTTTCCCTTCAGTACTAGGGATTGAACTCAAGGCCTTTGTACTGAGCTACATCATCCCCAGTCTAGTTTTTATTTTGGGACAAGGTCTTGCTAAGTTACTAAGTTTCCCAGGCTGGGCTGGAAATTGTAGTCCTCCTGCCTCAGCCTCCCAGAGTGCTGGTGTTACAGACGTGTACCGCCGTACCTAGCTTGGGTTGGTGTCTTGACTGCTACATATTTGGTGCCCATGATCTGAATTTGTTGACTTACAGACTTGGCACTCTTTTGTAGGGTCATTCTACCTAGAATGTGAGAAGAGCAGCAGTATAAACGGTGGCTTAAAAAGTTGAGTGGGGGCAGTGTATATAGTTCAGTGGCAGAGTATCCTCGGTCTGTGCAAGGCCCTGAGGTCAGAACAGACAGGCATTGAGCCCATGGTCTTTCATCAGATCCTAGGTAAATACCTATTAGAGATCGGATTTTAAAAACAAATTAGTATTTCGTATATAAAATGGTGTGTGTTCCCCTAGCCCTTGTATTACTCATTTTGTAGAACTCAGGTTTTGTGAATTTGGCATTTGTAAACCCCTCAGCCCGCCAGCGTGGAACCTGTCCCTTGTTTGCCTGTGCCTTTAGACTGGACTGAGGTGGGGACACTGGTTCGGGGTGCAGTGGTTGGCTGGTGGCCGTGGTGTGGTTGGGAGGCCCAGCCCAGTCCTTGCTGGGGAGCTGCCCACCCGTGCCTTACCCTGGTCGTGCTGTCCTAGCGCTTGCACAGGTGACGTGACTGTAAGAAGAGAGTTACTTTAAAGGCCTCTCAAGGGAACGAAGAGGAACCTGTGAGCCGACTGTGCCTGGGCTGCGCATGAACCCAAGGGTGTGCCCTTCCCGGAAGCGGAGCTCCGCTCTGTGAGCTCTGTGATCGGCTCCCTGCGCTGCTCAGTGTAGCCTGGGCCTGGGGAAGCTAAGCTGTTGTCCTTGCCGGGATGGATGGTGTGCGTCCCTCAGGGAGAGGGAGCATCTGAGATTCTTCCGAGCTCAGCATCCTGTGAGAGGCCGTGGGGCCATACGCCGGGTGTGATAGGCCAGGGGGACCTCTGGGGGGCCCCTGCTGGGCAGCATCCCTAGCTTTTCTCACATCTTTAGGGGAGAGTATGTGGCTTCTGCCCATGAAGATGCATCGAAAACTCCCAGAAACCAACGAGCCAGACAAGTGCACCAGACTTTAGGGGCCCATTAATACTTTCTTCAGGCAAATTCCAGGGCTGGGAAAAGAAATGGGTGATTCCTTATATTTTTTTGTATCTAAATTTAACCTGAATTCAAAGGAATTGAAAGAAAATGTTTCTCCATGAATCTGTAGGATCTTTGATTCTATAGTATTACTCTTATTTTTCTGAGGAAGTATGTTAATGTCAGAAGTCAAAATTGAACTGCTTTTGTCCTGGAGCTCGGGCAGTTCAGGGCTTTCTTAGCTTGGAAATGCCCAGGAATTCAGCAGAAGAGTTTTGAAGGTTTATGTTTCTCATTATCACCAATATTCGCCGGACTGTTTTCCTATGTTAAAGCAAGAGAGTGCAGCTTCCCTGCCGCCCCTGTGGGTAGGGAGGGTTTGCAGGGTTGCAGGGTAAGACCTGTCAGCTGACACTTGCTCACATGAGAGCCATCAGGAGGGTGGCGTGGCCAATGTCAGAGCAACCTTGCGCTGAAGGCGAGCCACTGCCTCTGCCCAGAGCGTGGGAATGCGTCTCATGACCAGCTAATGGACATCTCTTTGCTCTTCATCCGGGAGCAGGGAGTGAGTCAGTCCAAGCTGCTCAACCTGTTGAGTGTTTCATCTTTTGCTAACTGGAGTACAAGCTCGGGAACAGAAGTAGGAAGTAGGATTTGTACTTGTCTGTGTTTATAGTGGGTTTGCCGAGAGAGTGTTTTATAATGTGATGGGTGCATCTGACTTCCTAACTTATCTGTGGGCTTAATTTAGGTAAGAAATGAATGCTTTTTTTTAAGCTTCTAAAAGAGGAAATTAGTGGGCTGTTGCAAGTAGCTCATTTCATACACTGTATAGGAAGTGAAATGATCGCTTTAGAACTGCTGCTCACTGCTGAATGCCCTTAACAGAGGAACTTCAAGATCGGTGTCCAGTCCAAGTTGAAGGTTAGGATAAACTGGAAGAACATCAGGTGCTCGGGACATGTGTGGTGGCACAGCGAAAACCACAAACCAGCCAGGGGCCTGGCAAGATTCGGCCAGCTGTGTGAGTGATGCCAGCTCCGGTGCTCGGAGGATTTACAAGACGCTTTTGTGCACAAAGATTCAGAAATGTGCCTGGGTAGGCAGAGGCACTGGTCACACGGAACTGGACAACAGGTTTGAAATTTTAGTTCCATTTTAAAGACTCAGAAAAGTGTCTTAATTTATTGGTACTAAGGAGATGGAATTGTGTTGATCTAGAGGTTGATTTCCAAGAGTGTCTCAGTAGGAGAGGGAGTTCCTTCACTGGTGGAGGTGTAGAGACAAGTGCTTTTCTTTCTTCTTCTTTTGTACTGGGGATCGAACTTGGGTCCTTACGCTTGCGAGGCAGGCGTTGGAACCACTGAGCTACATCCCCGGCCCTTGTGCTTTGCTCTATAGGAAGCCTGGCATTTGTTAGAGACCCTGGTGACTCTTCTCCTCACTTGCTGCTTTCATGCCCTCTGCTAGAGTCCACTTGCAAGAAATGGCTGCGTTGTCCTTTGGTGAAGCTTGGACAATACTGCTTGCGTTTATCTGGAAAAATGTTGCAGCCCGCAAGTACCTTCCCAGCTAATCAGAATGCGGGGCGAGACTGGGTGCTCCCTCCACAGGCGCGGTGGGCGGTGGAGGGTGGTTGCCAAGGAGAGCCGATCTTGCCCCGAAAACCTTTTCTGGGGAAGGGCGGTTATGAAAGTGTGCCGTTGATGGTGGAGTACCCTGGAAACGGTAGCATTGTACTTGTGGCGTTCTTAGGGTTATTTCATCCACTGTGGAGAAATTCCTTAATGTCATTAGTGGTACAACTTAAAACATTATTGTAAAGAACCTTATTGCCTATCAAAAAAGGGGGGGTGTTCTTTGAGAATTACGTTTTATTCTAAAATCTTATGTCAGTAGAAAGGAGAGCCAAAGGTTAAGTTCTGATTTTCATGATTAGTGAAAAAGTTTCTAAATTCATTTAAATTTTTTTTCTTACAACAGTTTTCTCAAAGTTAATGTGTCTTATAAACTTTATTCTGTAAGTATTTTATCAGTTTGGTTAGAGAATGGTTTCTGTCAGGTAAAACTCTGTTCTGGTAGAAATTTAATAAAGGCAAGCGGGAGCTCATCTAGGTTGGAGCCATAGGGAGAAGTGGGAAGTTGCTTTGCAGGGGGGGTCACTTGCGGTCACCTCATGAGGCGTTGCTTGTGGAGGAAGAGGTGATGGGTGGTGGGTGGGATACCTTAGAAGATGCATTTGCGTGTTCAGATAAGCATTCATTTTTATGATGTCTGCTTTTATCTTTTCTTGTCTGAAAGGCAGCTGAGCGCAGGAGAGCGTAATTGGGTTGGCACTCAGTTTGCCTGGATCCTGATTCCGGACCCCAGGCTGCTGCCTGGAGCCTTGCGCCAGCCTGGGAGAGTGATTCTCATTCTCACTCTGAAGCTGCGTAGCAGGCGGGGTTACTGTAAAAAGTGTTTCTTCCTCTGAGATTCTACATGTAGTACTGTATCGGGACATTTTGTATTTTCCTTTTTTGGGTATTCTGTAGAATTTCAGATTCCTGAATAGTTGTTTAGGATGAGTATCCATATAAAATATTACGCACGGACACAACAATTAAAAAAAATTCTAAAATTTATTTTTAGTATGAAGTGGTACTTCTCCCTTTCAGTGAGTTGCTACTCTCTTGGTAGGATTTTAATCATTTTTCTTGAAGCAGTACTTTTAACAGATCATTTTAGTGTCCATTACCCCATTGCTTTATAAGTATGAAATTGTCTTTAAATTTACTTCCCTATTTTTGAGAATTTGCACAAAAAGTTTTTCAATGTGTGTTTGTTTGTATCAGGGATTACGCACTGATCTACATCCCTAGTCCTTTTAAGACTTTTTTATTTTGAGACAGGGTCTCTCTGCATCAGTGAGTGCCCAGGGTGGGCTTGAACTTGTGTCTTTCTGCCTTGCCTCCCAAGAGTGCCAAGGTGGTGGGCTTGCACACTGTTCCTGACAGTGCATTTGCAGTTGATTTAGAATTCATCTGTGGTCAGTTGCCTTCACGAGCCGCATGCGTCCATTTTGTCTTCCTCTCTCTGTAATCTTCAAAGAACCTTTAAAAATAATTTGCAGTATTGTGCCCGGTTTCCAGAATATCTTAGGACATGGGGCAGTGTTGGGGTAGAGGTGAAGCACTGACAGGAGCTTGCACCGTGAGGATGGGGCGCCACAGGGCCACCTCCCGTGGCAGTCCGTGAGGGAGGCTTCCAGCTGGCTCTGTGCTCTAGGGCGTAGGGCATCGTAGCTTCAGTGGTTGTATTCTCTGAGCGGGGTTTGTTCCTCCTCATGATCTCCTTCCTAGACAGGTGGAGGGAAGGCTCCCGTGGTGACCCTACAGGTGGCCACCATGCAGACGGGTTCAGTGTGGGAAGGAGCGGCCTTCCACACCTCTGCACCCCTGTGTAGCAGGTGCTGGGGTCTGCTGCAGCTCACAGAACTCCGCCCGTAAAGAAGTGTGCTTTGGAGGAGGCGTCTTGAATGGTTTGTCAATTCAACGTTCCCTGCTAAAATGCAAATCTGGCAACTTGGAAATAATAACGCTGAGTATATTGTACGGTTTTCACGTAATCGTCCTTCTTAAAATCTAGACTATAGTCAACCTCTGGACAAATATTGATTTTTTTTCAGATTTTCCCAGGAAAATAGATAAGGCCACAGGGCTTTTGACAGGAGAAATCTGGGAGTATTTGCTGAACATGTCTATCTGTGAATCATTGTTTCTCTTGCTGCAGGAGAAAGCCTGCCATACCTGGTCTTTAAAGTGTACTCTTCGTACACTGAGGAGGAACTGAAACAAAGCCCTTCAGAGTCAATTGTGCTTTGCAGTTTCATATCTTGACATTTGAATTCAAGAGAAATTCTTTGTACTGCTTCAGAGTTTCTCAGTTGGGGCTGGGTGCGTGGATCAGTGGTGGAAGGAACAACGCTTGCTGTCCCCCCCCCCACGTGTATGCACAGAGACGGAAGAGCAGGGGGGGTTCATGAATAACAATGGCCTGCTTACCTCTTGGCTGGATGGCTTCTGTAGACTAGGTCTGCTTAGAAAGGTGAGCCCTTAGGTGACTGGCCGAGACCAGAGTGCTGTTTTTCCCTTCAGCAGACTGCTTCTCAGAGATAAACTGACCATGATTCACTACCGGCCTTTCTGTGTAGTAGCGAGGAAGGCAGACCCAGTCACAGGTGTAGACAGCCATACTAAGCAAGGTGACAGCCCGAACCCTCGGGAGACCGGTGGGAAGGCTGCTAAAGGTGTGATGCAGGTGGTAGGGGGTGTGTGAAGGATGTGTTCTGCACATGGAAACTGTGAAACACAAGCTCCTTTGGTAACACTCGATGTTGAAAAGCATAGCTGTTGGCCCGGCCACAAGAAGCAGGCAGGGAAGACAGAAGACGGAAGCTGGTCAGCTGACAGTCTTGTGCTCTGGGAGTTGTGAATTGCTGGGTGTGACTCTTTCACACCTGTTGCAAGTTCTGCCTTTCCCGCATTCCTTCCCTTTTTGCTGATTGATATGCGAGGAGGATTTTTTTTTGGCCGGGGAGGAGGAGTCCCCCACTGGCTGATGGTTAGGATTTGAGGTGCAGTTTGAGGCTGATTGAGTGAATACAGGAAAGAACACAGTGGTGATTCCGCACCACTGCAGCTTCTGTTCTGATTCAGGTTTCAAGAATACTCATCTTTCCCCTCTGGGGACACATGGGTTAGTAGGAATGGCTCAGAGCCGTCTAGATACGGTAGGAACTCACAGCTGACATGCGCTCTGCCTGGGTTTTACTCCGATGGTATTCGAGACTAGTTCCTTGCCACCCAGTGACCTTGTCCCCAGTGACGGTGCTGTGGACAGGGAGGTTCCTTCCTCTTGAGTGTGCAGGCGGCAGTGGGTGGCTTCAGGGCCTCCCGGAGGGAATCCGGCAGGGTCAGCCCTGACTCCTGTCCAGGTGACTACTCCCCTGTGAGTCAGGCTCTGGTTGAGCCTGGTCCTGTGGTGGTTTCGGTAATAAGCGCTAAACAGCTGCTGGATGGGTGTAGCAAGTGCTGGTGGGAGTTGGTGAGAGCAGGAACTTGTGGCCCACGGAGGGTCACAGAGGGAGCCTACCACCCACGGCTGGCAAGGCACCCGGGTTCTTGGAAATTTCCTTTCCTTCTGTGGGGTCACTGGGGGTGTTTGGGTATCCGGTATAAATCTGTCAGTCTTTATACAAAATGTTGAAGGGTTTAATCCTCTTGTCAGCTTAGAAAGGATTAAAAAAGCTTTCAGTGCTTTATACAAAAGACATGAATGAAAATCTTTTTTTCTCACTATTACATATCCTTTCACTTTCATGCCTAACCCTACCCAAAGGGAAAAAAAAGGAGAACTTCGTGAAGTTGTGCTGGCCCCTCCCTTTTTCCCCTAAATTCACCTCTAATGTGTGAGTCTTTGGAAGAATCTTTGATCTAGGGATCTTTTCTTCACCAATTTCATGAGCCAATTTCAAGGGTCTTCTCTACCTTGAATTCACTTTGTCTTTGGAAATGTTGCCACAGTAGAAATCTGTATTTCTACTTTCTCTTCTAAAAAAAATAAAGATGGTGGACTGGGCAGCGGTTTCCAAATATGTGACGTATTTTTCTTTAAATGTTTTTTTTGAGACAGGGTCTTGCTGTGTAGTTTGGGCTGGTCTTGAATCACTATAGTCTCCAACTTGGGGTTATTCCTGTCTCAGCCTCCCAAATGCTAGGATTACAGGCGTGGGCCATCATGCTGGCTGTGATGTTGTTTTGTTTTGTTTTTTTAATTGTAAATGCATTTTATTTTATTTTATCCCTTCCCCCCTCAAACCCCCACCTCTCCCTATTTCAGATTGTTTCCATTTTCTGTTTTTGCATCCTTTCCTTCCTTCCTCCCTCCCTCCTTCCTTATTCCCCTTTCCATCTGAACACTTGCTTCCCATTTCCCAACATGCGTTATACATCTTAGTTCTTATTTCTGCTGTCTTTTAAAAAATGTGTATTTTTTTTAGCCGGGCGTGGTGGTGCACACCTGTAATCCCAGCACTCGGGAGGCTGAGGCAGGATGATCGCTGTGAGTTCGAGACCAGCCTGGGCTATACAGTGAGT